CAAAGAAAAAACGCTTTATGATCAAAAAAACTGTTTTTAGTCATTGTTGTTTTTCAGGCAATTGACGTCTGGCTGTTCAGGTTTGACTTTTTTTCTTCAACCGCTTATTTACAAATTATCAAATTTTCTAGCATCTCTCAGTGTGACACTTTTTGTTTCTCATTTTTTGTTTGACCTACTAAAATCTTAATAGGTGATTTTTGCAGCTGAAATCAGTAAACTACTAAGAAAAAATAAGAATTTCTCATGAATTAACAGAGAAAAGGCAGGAGCTAAGTGGTTTAGTGCTTGGATATTGTTGCTATCTTTAGCGAAAGAGACAAAAAAACAATGTTATTAGATAATGGCCAGCAAACATTGTTTAAATAATGTGATCGCAAGCTTTGATCACAAGTAAATTTAAATTTTTTTTGTTTGATTGCGGAATAAACATGGCTTCAACTAAACAGGTTTCCCTAGGATTTGCAAGGTGTTTCACGGCAGAAACTCTTTTTAATTTGTTTCCAAAAAATGAACCAATAATTGTAAACATCGCTATAGCATTTGCCAATTTCCAACAGCACTTGCTTAAAATTAAAAATGGGCAGATCTCTTCCTTAAGGATCTAACCACTTTCGACAAATCAAACAGATAATTGTCATCATCTCTTTACAATAGCTTAAGTTTTCAAAAATAGCTAAACTGCTCGAACCAATGAAATCCAGATGATGTGAGGGGGGAACAAAACCAATCAAATAGTCGATATATCAAAATAATTAAGCATTATAATCAGTGTAAAAAGTAGCGAAACGAAAGGTACAAACACCTTTCGTCGACAGTCATGACTGCAAATTGTTTTGATATTTTAAGAAAAATTTTAGTTTTTCGGTAAACTTGACAGATAGTTTACAGAAAAAAATTATTCGAGACTAGAAATCACTAATTTTATGCGTCACCTCCAGTTTTTTATGGCAGGACTTACTCTATCAAACAATTATAAACATTTTAAAGACTAATTTTTCGAGAAGCGCAGGTATCAATTTAAAAGATAAAGTTCTATAAAAAGTTTATTTTCACTGTTATTGACGCTAATAACACGATTTTTTTTTCCCACTAGTTCAGCTACCACGAACAAATAGAAAATTTATAGTGATGTGACAGTGAAGAATGGTTAAAAAGAAGGCAAATGGAATACAAAAATACTATTTTTTCTATTATCAACCGTAAAAATGTTCACTAATAAACAGCCTTGATTAACAGTTTTCGGAGTATCAATTATAAAAGACTGGCTTTGCAAAGTGACAACAACCACCATTTTTTAGCTTCTGTTCACGGCAGTGACAGTTTTAATACAAGTATTGACTGCTCCACCACACTGCTCTGCATAAAGCTCAACCTTTTTTTTGGCACTTTTGAAGTTTTTCTTATTAAAAATCTACAGACATCACTCAGATCTCAGTTCACAATACTTATATAACAGAAATGAGACCCTAACAAAAAAAAGTGTTTTTTTCCAAACGACATTTTCATAATTAAAACTTTCAGTGGCATGGCTTTTATTTTGGCATCGTTAATTGAGTTAGCTGCAGTTGGCTTTCAAACTAGATTCGGTCCAAACAGCAAAAAGAAAGTTAAGGTAAAATACTTGTGCTGTCATCTAAATATTTAGAGAAATATTAGTTTCTTCATAAAAGCTTCCCGTCTTTATAATACTAATATTCAGTGGGCCTAGAGCACCACACTGATTGTTTAGTCATATATTAGTCATTTAGCAATATCAACATATTAAACAGATGGCCTTTCTTGATGCTGTCATTTTTTTCGCTTTTGTTTGCATCCAAAAAAAAAATTCGTCATATTTGCTGTTGTCTCAAGGAAAAAAGTTTTTCTGAATTATCACTAACTTATTTAGAACATAGCTGTGGAAGAAAACTGACTGTTTTGCTCATTTTCACAGCATTTTATGCGGCATAAGCAAACAATGCTTTTGAACTTTGATCTCCTTTTGTCAACAACCACAAAAAAAAAAAAAAAAAAATGAAGCACTGTCTTTATGTAATTTCTAACTAAACAATTTAAATCTTTTCTTCTAGATTTTTTACTTCCATTTATCTTCTGCAGCAGACAAATTAATTTGGTTAAAAAAAGCAAAATAAAAAATGAAAAAAAAATTTTGAAAAACCAACGATATCAGCAAATTTCAGGGCTTGAGCGCCGAGCAGTTAGATCACTATTCAAGAATCATATTCCCAAGTAAATTTATTTGTATCTAAATTGTAACATTCAATAAAAAAAACTCAAAAAAGATTACTGCAGTATTGTCGACAAGGTGCCATTTAGATTTTAAATTATCTGTAGTACTACCAACATTTCACGTGACACCGTCTCTAATATTTTCACACAAATCCACGGCACTGGCAATATAAGTGATTCTTTACTGTTATAGCACCATTTAACTGTCTCACCTTGAGTATGCACTTTTATTACACCGCAATTAAAAATAGACTACTTCTGATTCAGTCATTCTATGTGATTAAGTCAAAAGTTGAAAAAAATTAGTGGTATTAATGATAAAGGTAATAATAATAACGATGATAATAGAAATAAAGATAAATGATAATAACAATAATAAACTTATAGAGAATAAAGCAATGAAACGAAAGTAAGAAAGCAATTTATTTAATTAAATAATCTTTGTTCAGCTTGTTACACAGTTTTCAACGCGATCTACTGGGGGTATTACCTTAGCACAGATTCCCTGTTACGATTGCCAGAACAGAAGGAGCAAGCCCAAACAACACCGATAATCGATTGAAGAAAATCTGTTTAAAATAGTGTCAATACCTTAAATGTTCCTCTTAACTTTTAATTCAAAAAAAAAAAAAAAAGAAATCCAAAGAAACATCCTTTACGTTTAATCTTTATTTTTCTAGATTTTCAGAATTCGTTCAGTTATTGAACAAAAAAATTTCCACTGTACACTGTATGATTAAAAGTATAACACACAAAAAGAAAATCATCACCCAAAACCACGGTCGATAAATCTGTTTATAGAACTTTATGTATCACCTCAGTAGCCATTTATAAGGAGTAATTAGTGTCAAATGTCAAAGTTAGATGTCTCCGGCAAAATGATGAATTCCTTTTCGTTTTCCTTCACTTATAATTATTGTTAACACTTAAGTATACAATGATATAACATTACTATGATCTAATCTTCCAAAGAAAGTAACTCTACCAAATGATTATTTACAGTTCCGGTAAAAAACTATAATAGTACTCTCATTGACATTTTCAGTGGTAATTATTCTGAAGAAAGTATAAAATATCTCATTAATTTCTTTCCGCTTCACTTCGTTGTTTAACACTTAATGCGGCTAGGCTGCTGTCATCTGATTTTTGTACATTCTGTAAATCCTGTACATCCTTAGTAAATAAGTAAAAAAATAAATGTTGTTGAATTAATATATTGTTAGGTCTAACATGCTCCTACAACAACAACAACAGCAACAGCAACAACAACAGCAACAGCAACAACAACAGCAACAACAACAACAACAACAACAACAACAACAAAGCACTCGCTTAGTGTTCGCAAAATGTTGAACCTGCTGAATGGAACCTACAACAATCTCACTCTGGTGCCCTTTCTGAGCAAAACCAACCGAAGCAATTCTAACACCAAGAATGATACTTGATAGCCAGTCGTCTTCCTAGAAAAAGTTGTTCAGTCGTTGTTCTTCACAAAGAATTTTTACATTATTCAGTGTGTTAACCACTGTGTGGTTAAAGGTCACAATAACTTGGAAAACAACAAAAATTAGAGAGTCTGGAACAATATAAGCGACGGTAAGAAATAGCAATAGTTAACGCCTGTAAAACTACATTAAAATACCTTTTATTAAGAATGTACATACATTAACATCTGTGAGAACCAGTATGCAAATAGACCATGTATTAGTATCAAAGAAGAAAGAAGAAACAATTCGAAAAACTGCCCACACTGGTATAGCAACAACATTAGTTGGACTACTGCGAACAACAAAAGAAAGCTCCGTCAAAGCAACTTTTTTTTTATTCCTGTAGCTTCATTTTTTCCTCCTTCGCAAAATACGGCTTTTCTGGCATCGTGAAAAACCGGGGACTATTTTAGATTGAATACGGACAGCTAAATAGATAACTCCTTTGTGGTCTCTAAAAATGCCGAGGTATATAGATCGCAAGAAAACGGTTGACGCTGCTGTTGTTTTCAGAAATAATGATAGTGAAAAACGTGGCTTTTCCCTAAAATAACAGTCTTGACATAATGAAAATGAATATTCATGTTAAAAGCACGTAGCAGAAAAACTCAAGTAGAAATAAACAAAATAAAAAAATCCTAATTTTATTTTTTGTTTTTTGCTTCCTTCACATTTTTTAATTTTATTATTGTTTTTTTACCAGAGTGGTATTCGGCAATATTAAAGCATCAAAGAACAAAGAAAGAATGCAGTAAAAAGCACATCATACAAAAAAGAGAAGAATATAAGAATAAAAATCAAAAATACAACGTTGAACAAGACGATGACGTATAATTGCACACTATTCATACCGAATTTATTAAATAGACTGCGGTGTACCGTCCTCTAAACTGGTTGCCACTGGCAAAAAAAGCCAGACGATAAAATCAAAGTACATAAAAAAACTCGGTTAGTTTAAAAAATTGTAACAAATACATGAAATAAACGGTACAGCAGACAAGCAACAAAATAGAGGGAGGACGAAAATGAGGGACGAGAGGAGAAAACGATGCAGCGGAATGTCTGCGACATCTAAAGCTCTGATGGTAATAATCTCCACGACTCTAAAACATGGGCAAAAAATGTAACGAGCAAAGTCGTGATCCAGGCGTTAGCTGAAGTCGATACTTTCGACCGAGTCAACATCACTGTATCAACAGCATTAGTCACTAATAATGCACTGGTAGAACAAACGATATACAGTATCTCATTCTATCGACCATACCCACTAATAAAATACCTGCAGCTAGCAATCAGTCACTTTAACCGTCAGTGTTGTTATCCATTTGCACTTCGCAGGTAGAAAGGCTCGATCGACGCGACTTAAATGAGGGAAAGCATCATAAAAGAGTATCATTAAAAACATTACTCAAGCATATTTTCGTTTGCTACTAAGTTTTAGTTTCAGCTACTGAATCTCAGTTTAAGCTTTTTTAACGTATATCATAAAAAAGCTTCTGCACCTCAGCTCTGTGTGAATTGGAAAAAATCCCCTCCCCTCCTCTCCCCCCAAAAAAGAGCCTTGCATATGCTATTTATTGATCATTTTCACCTTCTCAGCGGTTGACTGTATTCAAAACTTTCAGTTTTCCAACAATTCCCACACTTTTCATTTTGAACTTATTAAGCAAATAAAGGAATCAAGCACCTACATAGATGAAAACCGGCAAACTTCTTTCTTCTATTCAAACCATAAGAAATTTATATTAAGAGGATACACAAGGCAAATCTTACCTTTTGTTTTGAGTGCACTTTGGTGTGCCTTTTACGTTCGTCAGACCGTGCAAACTTTCTACCGCAAACGTCACAGCTAAATGGCTTCTCACCGGTATGCGTCCGAACATGCGTCGTCAAGTGATCGCTTCTCGAGAATGCTCTCATGCATATGCGGCACTAAATATTTGATTACAAGCTACAAAACTACATTAACAGGCCTAATGAAACCGTTGTAGCTAGAACTCACAGTTTTCTCCTGATAAGTTAAATTTTTTTCATGATATAAATTAACATTACTGCCCAAAGCTGATTACGCCATAAAAATGTAAGCCTTTTCGCCTTCTAATCGTCACCGAAAATTTCAATGACACTAAATAATGCCTGGTAAAACAGTTGCAACTCTTCAAACACAACGCTTTTTGAAAATATAGTTCCGGAGAGATTCCAAAACGTACAATATGGTGAAATATTAAAACTTTGAGAATGCTCTAGCAACGGGGGAATTAGACTACGCTAATCCAACTGCAAATAACCTATCGTCTTTTTGAATTATATTGTGCTTTTTCAACTATTCCTAGAAGCTCGCTAGAATTTCAAATGATTCTTCTTTCATTTAGGACGTTCATCCTCGGGCGACCTATGCTCATTAAGGAACTCTAAAGACGAATTTTAACTGTCTCACTTTGATCAGTGGTCATGCGTCGCTGGTTTTCCAAGTCTTTTTTTTGCACTAATTCCCGTTACTGCATGAGCACACAGAAAAGAGAATTTGTGGTATTGTACTGCATAGTGCAAATAGTTTGAGAACTGCCGAGTAGTTCGTTCTTACAGTTCTTAAATGAACATAGGCTGGTTTAAGAATGAGCGCCCTGGTAAATAAAAAGGTTTCCGGAAGCACAAAGTATCGAGAAAAAAAGACAAATGACTCAAAAAATTGACTCATGACCTCTGATCAAACTTTTACATTAAGTATTTTGCTTTTGAAGCTTTTTAATAAGCATAAATTAATTCCGGAACAAAGACCTTAGATGAACAAAAACCCTCCACTTCTTCCACATCATCTCGAAAGTTGGAAAAACATATCGGTTTTTATTTCTTCTCAATCCCTTACGTCAAATTCTTTATGCCACAGGCTTTCACAAGAAATATAAACTAGCCCAAAAGAGCAACGTATGGCTCAAAAAAAAAAAAAACAATAAGACTGTCCTCTAGCTTTTCTAGCGTAGTTTAGCCATTCATCTAGAGCGTCATAATGATTATACAACCTTCCCAGGATGAGCATCTGGGACACACGGCGACCATTTTAAAATCATACCCATAACAAGCACTACGTCCAAACAGTTCGAATTGTTCGAGCAGACATGCACTTCGCGTTGGCAGAATTTCCGGAGGAGAATTGTAAGGTGTTACTTAATTTGCACCAAAAGGTTTAACCCTGAGTTTCGTTGCAGTACCGATTAGGTGGCCACTAACGAACTGCCCACAAGTATTCAGCGAGTCCTTATTTATTCAATTTCAGGTGTTCAATTCTATCGTCTTGCTGTTTTTGCCTCCATTTATTACTTCTGCCCCCAAGTTTCACAAGGACTATTTTTCCTCTATATTTTCGCTGCATTTAAAATCTGCACACTCTTTGTTGCCACAATTTTTCCATTTTTTCTTCGGTGTACTTGACTATCCTGATGCATTCTTGGAACACACGTCACGCTTAGGTTGAATGAGATTGTAACGACTGGAGAAAAATATTATTCTTTGTTCCTTCTTTATTTTATTCCACACACTATGTCGAAGACCGATTTAATTGCATATCCTCTAGAACCTTTTGACCCAGCCACTGACTATATTCTGTTTTGGTTATTGAGGTCCCAGTTATCCCTCATCACCTCAAAGGTTGAGAAGACAAACCAACTTTTATTTCTCTTGCATTCCCTACCGTCAAACGCTTACCGATCTTTGTCTGCATTCGTTTGACCTTATGGTGTCACTAGGCTTACATTACAAGCGTTAATTGAACCATTGAAAAAAATTTAGTGTCAAAATTCTTCTCTTTGTAAAACAATGTCGTTTTTTTCATCTTAAACAAGGCGGCCAGTCTTGAATTTGTGAAAACAATTGAAGAAAGGGAATTCCTATGTCTACTAGGCAATTTTTTTAAGCTGACATTAGCTCTCGTCTTCACAATAGGTGCAAGCGATCAGCGTGCACAAATAAAGTTTCTGCAGCTTAAGAGTTGCACTTTAGATCAAGCGTTATTCACTAGTCAAAAGCGTAAACAAACTACAGTTAAGAAAAAACAGCCAGGACCTGAAGAAGATCACCTCTCAATCAGTTCCATTTCAATAAGTCGTAGTTTTCAGGAGTCAGTCAACCTGACAACCAAAATACAATAAGGGATGTTGCTTGAGTTGTGGAGTAAAGCAAAAACGTCCAGACTGCAATTTTCGGAATGCAGAGTGCCATATTTGCCATACGAAAGTGTCACATTGCCATCGTCTGCAGAAGTAAAGATCGTTCTTCTAATTCTTTTCCTTCCAAACTTTAACAGCATATAAGGCAAAAAGCATCTTGACGGTAAGAATAACTCTCAGCGCTCTCATTCTACACTTAATTTGATTACTACTCCGTCAGAAATATGCACTATTTCTAAAGTGCCTGAAACAGGCTTGTTTGCTCTTTGGTTGCGAATGAACTCTATCCCTTCAAGGATTCTACTAAATACAGGTTCTCCATTTACCATTTTCAATCATGAAGAAAACTGGTTTTCCACAGCTGTCTCCAATTTCTACCTGCACTAATAGTTACTCAGGTGACCCACTGGCTTTTGCTGGTAAAGTCGCCACTAATTTTCAGTTTCAAATTGAAGTGTTTTCTTCACTTCTTCATGTTTCGAAAACGAGTACACAGAATATTCCATATTCGATCTTATCTCTTTTTAAAAATTCGGATACTGCCCTTAAGCAGCGTTTGTAACGCTACTCAAAAAAATCCGGCTTTACCAAGGCTTCTTCCACAATCTACATAGACTGTCCAATCTGATCTTGGTTTGTGCGCATAGAAAAAAGGTGACATAAAATTAATGTCAGATACTACTCCACTTCCCGGCACGTGTACCGTCTGCATTTCGTCTTTTATTTAAAAAAAAAATGTCTCGACTGATGAATCAAAACATCATATTCCTCCGTACTTTATTTGCAAAGGGAAGTGGCGACTATAGCTGTTAAAAAAAGAAACAATAAACTTAGAATCTGCAATGATTCCTCAACTGGACTTAATGCAGGAACTGATATACAATAGTTCCCGTTGAATACGCCTGATGACATTTTTAGAACACTCAATTATGGTCATTTCTTCTCCCACTTGGATCTGTCAGACGCGTATTTGCAAATTTCGTTTGATGATGAGCCAAAAAAGCTGTCAGTAATTTGAATGCATCCAGTCTCTTCTAATACCATCCTTCATCGTTTAGCATCGATTCAGCGCCGATGGTCTTTTGACAGATTACCTCTTAAACGACTTTCAGTATACCAGAGGTTGTTGCTTACTTATAAGATATTTTGATTCAAGCGTAAACCCGTTTGATCGTTTAAAGCGTCTTCGTGCTGTGTTAAAACCTACACAGCCTTCTAGTTCTTGTTTGAGATAAGAAAAATATATTATTTTAACCAAACCGATAAAGTACCTAGGTTTTATTCTAGACTGCTACAGAATTTGTCCTGACCCAAACAAGTTGTCATCCATAAAGAAATGCCTCCTGCAATAACCTGTGTGGGTTATTTTTTTACTTTCCTATTTGCGCTTTGTAACTTACTATGCCAAGCTTGTCCCGCAACTTTATTATTTGCCTGCTTCATTTCAAAAGCTTCTTCGCAAGAATGTCACGTTCGCTTGGTATAACCAACGTTAATTTGCGCCTGATAGAACATGACAAGTTAATACCTCTCTGTTGTCTTTAACAAACTCTCAGCCAAATTAAGAAATTTTTCTCGCTTCTGATGCATCAAACCACGCATTAAGGAATCCGTTATTCCATCGTTTTCCCAATAGCCCAGAAAGGCCGACTGCAAGTGCTAAAAAATCCTTGACCTCAGCTGAACGAAATTATTCGCAAGCTGAGCAGAAGGCACTGGCGATTGTTTTCGTAATTAAAAAAATTCCATCAATTCTTGCGGAAACAGAAGTTCACCTTATTCACCAACCAACAGTCTTTAGTTCCCACCTTTGACTCAAAAAAAGTATTCCATTTCTGGTTGCTAGTCATTTACAACGTTGGGCGTTATTTCTGATGAACTACTCTTTCAAAATCGCGCATCATTCTCCTCGTCAATTCGATCATGCAGACTACCATGTGGGTTTGACATTGAATTGGACAAAACCAAGATGGCATCGCAAAATCAACTTAGTCAAGTTTTTGCTAAATTATTAGATTTTTTTCCAGTCACAGTAAAAAAAAAAAGGTAGGCAAGTTCTTTGAAAAATTAAGGATTTGCTCCTTACTCCCCTAAATGATCCGACTTATCAATTTCAAATAGATATCTTTTCTGAATTCTCCGGCAGTTACATCAATGTCTATATAAAATAAGGTAATTAGAAAGTTTAAATCTCGCACATCTGAGTGCCCACAGAATAAAATTTATGGCTCGTAAATGCTGCTATTAGTCAAAGATTGCCAGCAACATTGAGATCTGTGCAAAGCAGTGTCCTCTTTGCAAAAACAGTGCAAAAATGCTGACAAAAACACCTTTAGAACCTTGACCTGTTGCAACAAAACCTTGGATACTTTTGAACACTGACTGATTTTGCAAAACCAAAAAAAAGCCTCTACTTTTTAGTTCTCGTACGTTCCTATCTCGAGTGGCTTGAAGTATTCAGAGTAAATTCCACTTCTGCAACAGCGACTATTCAGGCTTTAGATGAAACATTCGCAAGATAGAGCTTACCAGAGACGTTAGTCACGGATAATACCCCATCATTCAAGTCTCAAAAATTTCAAACCTTTTGCTTGCAAGATAGCATCCAAAACTTTTTAATTCCACCGTCACCCTCAAAGTAATGGCTTAGCAGGACGGCCTGCTGGCACATTCAAGCGCGCACTAAGCAGTTACCAAATGTTACAAAAAATATACGAGCTTCTACTCCATTACCGCAATACGCAACATTCCAAAAAACGGTTTCCGTAAAAGAAAGAGTGAAAAAACCCACACAGAGACTAAGAATGCGACAAAGCAAGAGATTTCATGCAATTAAGCTCCTAGTTCTATTCTCCTATTCTTTAGCTCTTTTGATTTAATTTCTGTGAAATTTCATTATTTCGTGTACCCTAAACGCTCGGCAGGAAATTAAAAACAAAGTTTCTCTCCGCCATGTTCCGGACTAAAGCAATGAGTGCCCTAAATATTGATTAGGCACGTCCGAGATGCTTCTCTAGTTTGCTCCGACGAGTCGGTTTATTGGTTGAGTAACGTTAGGTGTTACTTTTTTGCACGCAAAGATCTACCTCCATAGTATTATTGTAATCATAGAACAGGCGGATACCGCTCTATTTAGGATCACTCTAAAGTGCTAATATACGAACTGTTTACTAGTATTCAGGAAGATTTTATCAGTTTATTTCTAGGTGCATCTACTCCGTTTCATTGTCTGGTGTTTTTTCCTCCATATATTATTTCAGCCCCAAAATTTCACTGAGACTACTTCTCCTCTATATTTTTCTTGCATTTAGAATCTGCATACTTTTTGCTGTCACACTTTTTTCTTGCTTTTCTTTACACGTTAGTAAAGCTGCTCTTTGCTGCACTTGGCTTTCTTGATACATTCTTGGAACTCATGTCATGCTAAGGTTAAATAAGAACATAATAGAAATGAAAGCGAAAGGACCTACATTTTCGGTCGGTGTCAAACAAGTTTCTGTTAAGACACGATAGATTTCCTCGTAATTTAGCATAAACATCGCAAACAACAATTTAATTTTCTTTTTCAACGAAAGAAAATGAAAAGAAAGATAAAAAACATGTAAATTTCGAAGAAATACAGTCAGATGAAAAGCAGTTGATGTGAGCTAAATTTTCTTCACTGCTACGATTACTATAACCTGCTAAGAAACTTATTCATTCCAAACAATTTCAGTTGACTCAGTATAAACAGCAGGCAAGTACCTGAAATGGTTTTTGTCCAGTGTGAATTCTTATATGCCTTGTGAGCTCATCAGATCTTGAAAACCGTCTTTCACAATCTTCCATAGGACATCGGTAAGGACGTTCATGGAGAGGTGTTTTAGTTATACGATTCGCGTACTTTCGACTCTTTATTTGGAGAGTCGTACCATTCTTTGATGTCGTCGTTGTAGCAACTGCTGTTGCTAAAAATTATCTGACTCACTACATCCTAAACTAGTTTTGAAATAGGCACCAACAGCCTAGGCCAACAAGATCCCCGTTTCACAGAATTCAGAAAGACAGTCAAAATGCGTAAACCAGAATCTACTAGTGTAAAATGGCACTGTCACCTGGAGGAAGTAATGGACCTGGTTGAGTAAATGCCACAGTTGGCTGATAGTAATCGTCTATCGGCTCCAATTTTGGTTGGAAATCATTTCTAAAATGCTCACTTCAATTTAATGAGCTAAAATAAGTCTGGTGAATGCGTAGCGCTCATTACTAAAAAAAATTGTGTATGGCAGTTTCGTTAAATTTTTGCTTTTAAAGTGGTCTTACTCAGCGTATGTTTTCCTTTCTAAACACTCATTCTAATAATGATCATACCGAAACTGCGAAGTCCCCTGATTTTGAGCTGTAGAAGAGTGAGGATTTTGTGTCATGTGACTAGCCTGACAAGGAATGTTTGTCGTAGTAGCGAAACTACAAGATGGATAGACCGTATGCTGAGTTGTCGGTGCAACAGCAACAACATTCTGAGGGCGAGCTTGTTGAACGACGTTCGACGCATTTGGTGTCGAGGCCACCGTACACGCCGTGCTCGGGTGTAACTAGAGTAACATAACATCTTTACCGACAATAAGTTTCTGTAACTTTTATTTCAAAAAAGTAACACTTAAATTTAATTACGTGATATTTAGGAGGCGGCTGCGAAAGTGTATTTGACAAATTTAAAGCATTAGCAGTAATCGATCTCGGATTTTGCACACCATTCAATTGGGTGTAATGTGTGGCATAGCTGGATGCAGTAGCATTCAAACCATTTTGCGAAGAAGCTTGAGGAGCAACCGAAACGGGTGGGCGGGCAGTGGTACTACTTCGACTTCCCTGAAAATGTACAAAATGACTCAATAACCATCAAGAATTTCCCATTCCTACTAATATAATTGAAAATACAGCGAGTGAGTTCAAATTCTGAAAAGAAGCCATTATCCCTTATTAGTGGAACATTTTCATCCGGTTTTTCAATCAGCTGCAGTTTAAACTCCGGTTTCATGCTCACGACAAACTACTATCGAAGAAAAATGATTGTAAACTGTTGAGTTAAATTTCACTTCTTCACAAGGGCTCTATAGTAAACTTAAGCATTAAAAGAAAAAATTACCAAAAAGGTTTGAAAGTTATGTACAAATCAATATGCCTTGTTTTTAATGTAAAATTTTGATTACTTTAGCGCATTGGAATATTTAAGTGAATTTTAGGTTTCAATATACAACAGAAACTGACATGTGGATGAAAATCAGAAGATAGAGTTATTTGAGATGATTGCGATGTTGACGGCTGCGTAGTTTCCAGTAAATGAGAAGACTCTTTTTTATCTTGAAAAACCTAAAGAAAGATTCCAACGTCGCAACTAACGTGTCAATCTAACAGAAATAAAAATATAGAAATCTTTCTAGTGACTTTTTCTGATACTATTCACCAAAGTGGTCTTTGCAAGAAATGATGCACCGTAAAAAGATCGGGCGTATCTGTTGCACCCGGAGTCTTAGCATTTGAATCCAATACAAGCAGAGGTAAAGACTGTTGGGATTTCGTGATGTTTTGTAAGAAGTGCTCCACAATTGGTGAAAATTGAAACACCGTAGCGCTTAAACCTGGAATTATATCCTCAGCTAAATTACAACTTTAACATGTAATTGGTATCAAAAATGCTATACCTGGAGAGTTCATACTTTGCGCCAAAGTGCTTATGCTGGTACTAATGCTAGATTTTAGCGTTATTGTAGCAGATTTCTGGTCCTTACTATCGTTGTTCGGTGTAGCTGTACTACTTACTACAGATCCTGAAATAGTCAGACCGTCTGAATAGAAATAGACAATCTCCGATTGTACAAAAAAACAAAAACAATTTTTTCTTTACTTTTGATAAATGCTTATCAAAGAAAATGCCACAACTGAATGCTAAAAAAACCAAACATCTACAAACAAAGTTCAAGAATTACTAAAACTAGCAAGAGTTCTAAATTAAAAATTGAGACTACAAAAAATTTTGCAGCGAAACTGCAAATCATCTAATGCTTAACAAGCAAGTTTAAAGTGATATATAAAACAAATAGCTCAAGCTGCTTTAATACTCAATCATAAATTTATATTTCTTTTTCTATCAATAAAATGTCATAACAGCAGTTTCAGCCCTTACTGGATGTAATAAGGACTATGCAGTGTGAAAAAGTGTAAAAAAATAAAATATATATATATATATATATATATATATATATATATAAATCTTCACATTAATCTGTGAAAACCATGTGCGCTTTAACAAACGGCGCAGATAAATTTTTAAAACGACAGAAATTTTAAAACTGATTGCTATGATGCCCTCAATGATTATCAGCGAAGCGAAAAACTTTAAAATATTTTTGTCATAAATGGCTAAATAAAACCAACAACTTTTTTTGATTTTCTTATGAATATTTGAGATGTTTTACTCTGTTTTAGGAAAAAAGACTACCTTAAGCTAGACGCACAAAAAGCTTCAAGCAATATTTAGCTTGACATAAAAACAAAAAAAATAATAATAATAAGGATACGACAAGTTCAATGTTTATTTACTTTCAACACTGACGTCGTGAAATAACCTAGCAGTGTACCTGTCAGTAACGGTTCATGGTCGCCAAAAAATGCTTGAGCATGTCCTGCTTGATTTGAGAACGCACTAAAACTCAACCTTGGCGTCAACAACTCGTCGCCATGACTTACAGCAGAGAGGGGACCTTTAGTTGGAGATCCAAGAATAGTTGGAGTCCGTAAAGTAGGTGTTTTAAGGCTGTCATTGTCAACTAGACTTAAGCCAACCGGCTTTGTACTACTGTGCAACGTTATCGGTTTGCCAGCACTTAAACGGCTGCTTGCGCTGCTGCATGACGGCTTTATATCAATTACAGTACCACCAGATGACGAGACTTTGTCTTCCTGTACCATTTTAATAATTCAAGAGTCTGACTAACATAGATTTTGTTGAACCGGCCCTAAAAAACAGAGCTCAAAGCAACGTATAAAAAAAAATAAACAATGAACGATTTCAAAATTTCAATCTTCTTTTAAACTTTATTAAAACGCAATTTCCTGTTAACATCTCAAAAGCAATCACAAGTAGGAGACGAAAATAAAAAAAAACATCTGAAAACCTTTTAGATAAAAAAAAACAAAAATTTATTACTGTGGAAAGTACCAAATAACCAAGATTTTTTCGCTTTCTTTCTGGTTAGTTTTACCGCTTATTCACCAGTAGCAAAAATTGGACATCAAAAAAGTAATCACAGCATACACTATTTTATTCAAAGAAAAAAGAACCCACCAAAAAAGTTATCAACGTTATCCACAGCGACTATAAGCATGAACAAAATGAAAAAATATTAGCCGAAAATTTTTGAACAAATCTAATTAAAACCTGCTGCAAACAACATTTTTCCTTCCTTTCTTTCAATTTTTTTATCTGCCTCTCATTAATCTCATGTTTCTGCTTTCAAAACAGTAGTAGCGGGGGCATAAGGAGGAGCACTAGCTGCCACGCTGTCACCAATTGGACGACGGTGACAGCAACAACAGGAGCAATAAGAGCAATAAGAAAGTCATAATAATTTAATTTATAATACAAAAGCTCAAAAAAGCATTAAAAAGATTGAAAAAAAAAAGAAAAAAAAAGTCTTATAGTCTACTAAAACCACAAAATAGTGTGGTGCTGTATACGCATTTTATTACATTATTGATTGCGACAACCTGTTCCGCCAAAAACAAAGAGTACAAAACATTTTAAACTACTCATGCTTCATTTTTCTTTGCTCTTTCCGGTCTTGACTTCAACTGACCTAACACTTTTCAAAACCTACAACAGAACAGAAACAGAAACCTAATAAAATATTCAAAATGTCCGAAGAGAAAAAAACCGTTTTACTTTTTTTCATCTCGAAAAAAACATTAATAGATGAAAAACATCAAAGAGAAGAAAAGGAATAACCTGTAACAAAATTAAAAATCAACAGCACTCTCTAACCCTTCCTTTTCGATCCGCTTTTTACCATTCACGGCTCTCTCCAAAATAAGCACCTTCATCCACTTCTTACTCGATCAATTACTCAGAGAAAAATGACCAAGTGATAAAACAGAATGATCACATCCTTCACAAAACACAAACACATCCTTAATCTTTGAATTTCTAGAAGCAGAAACTGTTTCCAAATGAGGCTAACCAAAAGATAAAAAGCTGCATAAAACTTATAAATGAGATTTACAAGCGCCTTTTTCTGTAGAAAAGACAAATTTTTCAAAGCAGTAACGCCAAGAAACAAGAAAAATAGAACTAAATTAGGAGTTTTAGTGCCGTGTCAACTATTTTATGACTCATCTAACTTATTCTCAGATGTTACTCTTCCAAAACATCATTTTTTTCACATAAATTGAATAAACATTAGGAAACAGCCATAAAACATCAACAGCACTTTCCAACTCTTCCTTTTCAGTCACCTCTTCCAACTCTCCTATCTTTACTGCTCACTACTTCGCCAGTGAACTGCGACAATAACGAGCGGACACAGACACTGACCAGAGCACAGATGTAAATTTGGCTTCTGGAATGATATAGTTGTCTGGCAGCAGCAGCAGCAGTAACAACTACAAAAAAAGTTAACAATGATGATAAAGAACTCTGCTTCACGCACTTTTTAATTGTTCGTTTTCTGCATTTGATTTCCTTTAAATTTTGCGAAAAAACTCTTCTGTTAGCACAATTAATCTATTTTTAAATGTCTGCCCCGTTCCAAAAATACTTTTTCAATAGCAGGCCCATGTAATCATCACCAAACTTAATTACAATACTTTGCCATTTCAGTATTAATCCGATTCCCTCCATCAATCAACGTAAACTGAGCAGAAAAGTCAAAAAAAAAAAAAAAAAAAAAAAAAAAAAAAAA